TTTTATTGCCCTATGCAGGGAAATCATCCAAACAAAACTCTAACACTATGAAGACACCACAACAATGGATGCTGTCTTTTTAATTCACTCTTTTTTGTCCTTCTTTTGTTTTAGAACTTTCAGTTGACTGCTTATTAATCAGTTCACTTTGTGAAGGCTCTCTGGATTGTTTATTCGTGGTTAAAGTGGTTATTATATAGTCCACCTTCTCTTATCTACTTACATTGCTCTACTAAGCACCTCAGAATGAATCAAATTCAAAAGCTCTCACTCTCAGTCCCACTCTGTTTTCAACCCCTCCTCTATTTCCGTCCTTTTCACTTATCATCTATTCATCCAATCACACCCTAAATCTTTCATCAAAAACTACTATTTCATGCTGCTCTGGCTGTGGCTTTTTATTCACTTTCAGATGGGGTAATTCTTTGTTGTTTTTTAAATCATGCTATTAATTCTGTTTATGTGTGTTTGTCTACTTTTTACCGACCCCAACTAGTTTGAGATCAAGGTTATGATGATGTTGATTTGTTGTTGTCTACTTTGAGTTACACTGGTCCATGATAATCTACTACCTTGTTTACATGATTAAATATTTTATCATGCTAGTATAAAAACTTTTTTTTTTTTTTTGTCTTGGCTTTTCCAAAAATTAAAAATTTGTATTGCTGTACCCCCTTTTTCAGGAAAAGGAAAGAAGGTAAAAGTGAGAAAAAAATGGAAGATGACAAAAGGGTGAAAAAAGGGAAAAATGTTGATGTCCCTAAGTCTCGTAGCATGCTGAAGGATGACCATGATGTTGAAGGTTTGACTTAACATATTTTAATAGTACATATATATGTGGAAGAAAAGAATTTGGTATGTGTAGCAAAGTTTTACTCCTTAGGTTTTTCATCATTCATTTTTGTTGGCTTCATTATGGGTTTATGATCAGATTCATAATTTTTTTCGTATTACTTATGGAACTTTACTTAGATGTTATACTTTAATTTTATTTTATTTTATCGAAGTTTAAGTAAAACCCTTTTGTTAGGCCGTGATTATTTAAATTTAATCTTTGGTTCCTGATTGTATGCTCTGCCACTCTTTGACTGACTGTTGGATTTCTGCACTCTCCACCACTTTTTCAATTGTGTATATCTTTTTGGTGATGTTGTTATTCTTTACTTTCTTAGGGTTTGACAACGGTTCAGCTAGAAGCAAAGTAGTGGAAAGTATGGGGCAAGATCCAGATGACAATGATACTGGACTGACAGAAGGTTCTGAAACTGAAGGTGATGTTGAGTTTTCTCGTTCAGATGAAGAGGATATTGGAATTAATGATCAACCAACTTCTGAGGATTCAGTGCATTTGAGGTTCGTTAACATTAAAATTCTTTTGTTGTTGTTTTAATTATTTTTTACTTTGGAATGAAAAAGAAATTCATTAGATAGAAGAGAGAAAAACTGAATGGAGGGGGCTAGGATAAGTATCCTTGCAAATATATATATATATATATATATATATATATATATATATATATAGGCAGGATCCTTTGACACCGGTGTGAAACTTTGAAATTTGACACCAAATCTCAACCGTTGATTTCCGCAAATCAACGGTTATCATTTATTGGGAATCAAACTTATTATGTATATGTAAAGAACTAAGTGGCTAAAAGATGCACCTAAACTCTCCAATCTCTGTGGCAATTGGAAAGGAAACTCCTCTGATTTTGTTTATACTTTTTTCACTAAAAACTTTTTCATAATTGATTTCCATGTTAAATATTCTTATAATTGTACCATATATGATTTTGACCTCTTGCATGTTTCGTGATATATTTTAACTAGTTACTAGACATTGTTATTTTTTGTATTACGTAGCCATTATACATAGCTCATATGATTTTGATTTTTCTTGTCATCCTTTAATCTGATATTGTTTTTCTGGGCAGCTCTTTTAATTTACATTTGGAACATAATTTATCACAAGAAGAAATTAGCGACCAAAGGAACAGGAAATTTATCTGGGAGATACCAGCTATTGGTATATCAAATTGCAAATGGACAGGAACTGGAGAGAATATTTTGGAGGTATTTCATGTTATTATATTCTTTTGGTGTATCCTAGATTCCATGTTTCAGTGGCCTCTTCGTGAAAGTGAAAAATTTAATACGATTTTGTGGCCATATGTCGATCAATGGCCATGAAGGAATGTCGATCAATCTCATTTGAAAGGTATGGGATTTGGAGTTCCATATTGGTTGTATGGGCAATTATGCCTCCCAGTTGCAATCGAGCGGCGCGAGTGGTGCACCCCAAGGTTCTTATCAAATGGTATCAGAGTCTTCCACTATGCCTCTCGATTGCAATCGAGCGGTGCAGGTGATGACACCGGCATTGCAGTGTTTGCACGGGGCTAATAAAAGACTAGCGCAAAGCCAGCCCGGGTGGGCGCCGGGGCTGCGGAGCATGATGGAATGTTACGATCCCATTTGCAAGGTATGGGACTTGGAGTCCCACATTGGTTGTATGGGCAACTAATGTGGGGTTTATAAGGCTTTGGATACTCCCACTCTTTGAGCTAGCTTTTGGGGTGGTGCACCCCAAGGTTCTTATCACCTTGGCACACAGTAAAGTGGCTGCTTTGTTTCAGAACGATGGTCTTTCATCCCATTTCTGTTTGTTTCTTTCCTTCAAATAGATAATGTTGTGTGTTAGATGGGAAAACTAGTAGATATTGCAAATGCATGGTCAAATTTGATGCCCTTTACCCCTAGGTTTTGAAATAGGACTTGTTGACTTTTTGCTTGCGTCCCATTATTTTTTTAAGGTTACTTTTTGAGTTGATAATAGTAAATTGAGTCGATGACGTGTGCTGTTTATGTATTTTTGGAGACTTTTATTAGTTGTCCTTGTAGTGAAAATAAAATATGAATCCGCATCTTTGACGAAGAATTTTTCCTTTAATGTTAATTTTTTTCCTCATCATTGACTTCATCCATGTCTTGGCTTTGTTGTAAACTTGTAATTTTATATTAAGTAAAACCATAGTATTTTACCCAAAAAAATTCATAATCTTACATTAGCTTATAAAAGATGTGTTCATCCTTCAGTTTGCTCAAGGTCTCAAGTACATATTACATTTTTCTCTATTGATTTCTGTTTTAGGATTTGCATATCAATTCTTGTGATAGTCTGAAGGAAAAGTTGTACAAGCACTGGATGGATGTCTACAAGACATCTGGAGGAAAGGATATGTATTCACCTAAACAAAAGATATTTGTCTCCCTTTGTAAGTTGATTTTAAATTATAATGAATCAGTTACTCTCTTAACCTTACTCATTTGCATCTAGTCAATCTTTAAAAGCCTAAATCTTCCCCATTAGTTTCCTCAGATGTTTATCTTGAATGTTCACTTCTCTACGGATGCGTTTAAGAGACAGTTTTTTTCTAATATTCTGAAATCTTTCAAATTTCTAAAATAACTTCTGGTCTAATAGGGAATTGTGTTGGTGATATAGGGAAATAGCAAAAGGTGAAACAAAGACGAAGCAAATGGCTTTTCCCATTTTTTATAGTGGTTTTATTTTATCCTGCATGATACAAAATTAAGAAAGTTAAAACCTTGTAATTGATATAGTCTTAAAAGAAAATTAATATGGCACCCTAGCCTGTGTCGATATGGCTGTAGATTCTATCTTCATTCTTGAATTTAAGTCTGAATAACAGTTTAGGATGCATAGAAGGTTTAAAATGAGACATTCATTTTGTTTAGTAATTGATAAAAATAGGGGTTTGGTGTTTGTCATTTTAAATGACATAGGTTATGTCATTTTAGGAGAGAGATAGACACAAAAAAATGGAAATCATAGGAGAGAGAAAGTGGATGATTTTTTTTTAATTTAAATTTTAAATAAAAAAAATATTTTGTGTCTATCTCTCTTTTAAAATGACGTAACTTTATGTCATTTAAAATGACAAACACTTTTCCCTAAAAATATACTGCTCATTCTTCAGTCAAACACGTTAGGGATTGTATTTTAAAATTTCTTTTACAACATCGCTTTCGTTGCAAACTAGATTGAAATGTTCTCTAGTCATCCCAAATTTGTATTTTAAGAGTGTTCTAAATTATGTCTGAAGTTTTTCAACATCAACAAGCCTATGTTTTCTTCTTACATTCAACCAAGTTGATCGAACAAATCGGATACAAATATTTTTCTCAAAATGCACCTTTTAAATGCTACTTTGCGTTTCTTTATTAAGCTCTTTATTTGTATTTATGAGTATCCCCACTGATAATCACTAATTAAATCGTTGAGATGGTATCTGTGAAGTGTTCCTTGTTTCAGCAAGGTTCATTAAGTTGAGTTGGTATTCGTTTAAATTGTATTAGTTTTTTGTTATATGTAGTCTGCTGTCATAGGGGATGCATGGGTCAATTTGCATTTTTTTGCACATGACTGTATTATATATTTACAGCCTTGATTTTTTGTAATCATTTTATGGGTATTGGCTTCATGTTAAATTGGTTCCAGGCAGCAGCTACCGGGATATACTTTACTGTAACAAGAGACCATTCTATCTCAAAGGCCTTGAAGACATAAGCATCATGGATGCATACATAATGCATTCTGTAAGCAGATTTCCTGTCATTCTTTATAAAATTATGGAGTTTTTGAACATCTTTGATTTAGAGACTACTATGTACAGCTCAATCACATCTTCAGAACTAGAGACTGCGTGAAAAAGAATGATGCCAAATTGACCAGGCTTGGAGAGAGTGCTGATATTGATAGATTTCGAGATCAGGGTTTTACTCGTCCTAAGGTCTGAGTCTATATTGCTTCCTTATGATGGATTTCTGATTATAATTGCAGTTGCCACTTTGTAATCTTTAATCAATTCTCTACAATTTGTTTTTCCACATTATTTCTTAATCCTATGAATTATTTGACTTTTGGAGAAACGAGCAATTTTTTAAAATAATTGGTAGATTTGGTATTCCTTGAAGTATACTGTTAGAAACTGAATCAAAACACTTATTATTCCTCTGAGAATATTGGTACCGGTGTGGTAGAATTACATTGAAAGATAAAGACTGAAGGCGTAAAAGGATAATAAAGGGTATTTCAGAGACCTTGCTCTCTCCCTCAGTGTCCTCTACTTATTTTTCTGCCTCGATCTTCTCCCTATCTCCTTTCTTATAGCCATACAGGTCAATTTTCCTTCCTGATTCCCCTTGATTGCCTTACTAGAAAGTTGGAATATGTTACTATTGAAATATATAAGATTGGTTCTTTACAGTTACACAAATCACTCAATTTCCCTTGATTGCCTCATGCAATCTGTTACATAATCATTCAATTCTCTTTGATTGCTTTCTGTGCTTGTTCCTAATATAAACCTTGGTAATAGGTGGTTTCCTAGCATATACACTTCATTGTGGATTTTATAAGGCTTTTGGCCTTTTCTTTTGTTTTATGTTTAATTGATAAAGTTGGTATTCCCTTGAAGTAAACTTCAAATTAGAAGCAAGCTTCTATTTAAGAAATGTTATGTACACTTAATAGATCTTCTCAATGTTAGTTTGTGATGTTGTAAACAATAAGTAAGATCTTTTTTTATGTTTTGTGCTCCAGGTTTTAATTTTATTGCCATTAGCAAGTATTGTGTACCGTGTTGTGAAAAGGCTTATACAGCTTACACCTTCAGCTTATAAGGTACTTTAGTCTCCTCTCTGTTTTTTATTAATTATTTTAATATGCAGTCAAGCTAACCTTGATCTTGACACTTGAACATCATACAATGTCAATGCATGTTCTGGACTCCGAAGTGCCGACTGAACTCTTAAGCTGGGCATTTGAATTAACATGTTTGTTAATGAAATGACATACTGATTAGAGTGTAATGCTATAAAATTCAGCCTTGAAATCTCTCATGAAGTCTCTTAGTCAACACATTAGTTTATTGAAGTCTTGAAGGATTATATGGAGTAGTAATGAGCATGCTATTCAATTTCTCCTTGATACAATGATTGTCAATCTCAATGTGTTTTGTTTTGTCGTGCTGAATTGGATTTTGAGATATATTAATGGCAGATTTATTATCACATAATCACATCATAGGTCCTTCGTATTTCACTTTGAGGTCATCCGGTATAATTTTTAGCCATAGTAGTTCACAAATCCCTCCATAGCTATAAATTCTGCATGTGTGCTTGTTTAAGCTATCACATTTTGTTTCTTACTCCTCTGTGTTAATAAATTACCACAAAGGAACATGCAACAATCTTATAACGATCTTCGCTCAGTAATGGATCTTGCATAATCAACTTCAATATACAATTGTAAGGGCAATTTTTTCAATCTTTCAAAATATCAATCCTTCCCTAGTGTAGCTTTAAGATATTGGAGAATTCATCCATGGCATGCAAGTGTCTCTCCCTCGTGTCGTGTATGAATTGACGGACCACACTGATTGCATATGCTAAATCTGGTCTAGTATGAGTTTGATATAGCAATCTTCCTACCAACCTCTGGTATTTCCCTTTATCAACCTTGGGACTCTCCTCTTCCTTTCCCAATTTTGTGGTTCTACTCAATAAGGACATTAGTTACTTTATACTCAAGTTTTCTAACTAACTTTGAGATAAAAATACCTTATTGGGAGTAGGTAATATCTTTCCCAAGAAAGTACCTCTGCTTTCAAAAGTCTTTAATTTCAAATTTTGCAGTGAGCCTTTCCTGGAATTGTCTTTTCTCAAATAGACCTTTGCTTATTATAACAATATCATCTACATAGACAAGAAGATTGGTAAGTTTTCCCGGTGGAGGAAGAATCTTATTTAGTGGACTTGGCTATGGTCATGGCAAACCCATTAGTGGGTTTTGCATTTAGCATGACTTCACCATGACTCTCTTCCCTGTAACTTGTTTGGCTAAATGGATTTTTACTTCACGTTGTTGGTCTTGTACAGTTTACACCCGCAGTACTCTACCACATGTGATCAAATTTTGGGATCCTCTATTGTCACAACTTTGAACACACATGGTCCACTATGCTAAGTGTTCCAATCAAACAGCCATCGAATATGGATGTGCCCCCTGGTCCTACTCCTACTCTGGTTGATTCTTCTGTCCTTGTATCTCAGAGTGGCAATCATAGTCGTTCTCGCAAGTCTGGTTGATCTTGTCTCATCCCCAATGTGATCATTGTCACTGGTTAGGGAACACTATTGACAGGTGTTTGACTCTCCATGGACGTTCTCCTTGCATAAATTATAAATTATGTTGCCTAGACTGCTTCATTTGACACACTTGACATCGATGAACCATCCTTACCTCTTGGGATTACACCAGTTGCCTATGCCAATTTCCTCAAGTGATTTAAACCAACTCTCAGCTCTTTACACCCCAGATCTGTCTCCATTTCCTCTATTCAATCCACCTGCTGCACTTCTACCTGCAGTAGTGTCTGTTGGGTTACCCTCTGCATGGGAATTCCGGGACATTCCTTCAAGAATGTCTTCAAGTTTCTTGAATCAAGCTTCTTGAAGTTATCTATCCCTTTTTGGTTGCTGTCGATCTTCATCATTCAAAGCCCTGCTCCAAGATTTCCAGCCATGCCTACCATGAAAACTCCTTGGATTAGGAAGATCTGATATCAGTTAATAGAAACTGGATCAGAAAGTAGAAAGAGCATGGAAGAAATAGAATGTTGTTGAAATATATAAAACCATTAATGTAACCTCACCCAATAGCTTAAGCTTTTGGGTTGATTTGGTTCTTTACATGGTATCAGAGCCTCGTGTTCCGGGTTCAATCCTTGCCGCCCCCCACTTTCTTTCAAGTGGAATTTGTTTGTTCGCACAGGTAGGTGGGCCTGTGTATTGTCCACCCTTCAAGCCCAGTGGGCTCTCGTGTGAGGGGGCGTGTTGAAATATATAAAACCATTAATGTAACCTCACCCAATAGCTTAAGCTTTTGGGTTGATTTGGTTCTTTACAAATGTTTATATTGAGTATTGCTTCTCTTCTCTCTCTGACTCTGAATCTTGTACAATGGAGTGTCTCTCTCAACCCAAGAATTTTGAGAGGCTCTTCTAATCTCACTCTCTCCAAAAACAGAACTCCCTCAGTCCCTCTGTTATTCTTTCCTATCTCTTAGAACTTAAGAGCCTCTAACTACTAGCTTGTTACTGGCTCTAACTACCGTAATTAACAGAGTCAGGCCCAATAGGCCCACTGCCCCCCTTATTTCTCCTAACATATACTTTGTTAATTGGGGGTCTGCTAGCAGATTGTTTCTAATGTAATTTTGCACCAGGCTAGCTATGCTTGCATTTGGTTGGTCCAGAATGTGAGAAGGTCAACATCTGTTATTGTATACCATTCTTTCAACCCTCCTTTTGTTTAGGGAGTTGAATGGAGGTGCACATAATTTTACTATGTCTGAGGGGAGGGTATGTTGGATGTGGCCTTTAAAGCTAAAGTTTTGGTAACTCGTATGCATATTAATGATTCTAATGCATATCAACTTGCATGGATGGTGAAATTCTAAGACCAGCACTATATGTCTAAATTCAAACTTCATTTATACTTGTACACTGAAATGATTGCTGATTGCTGGTACATGTAACTTTCTGCTCAAGTTTGTGCCATTGACTCATTGTTGCAAGTGTTATCTACCTTATTGTATTACATTTTCCTTGAGCAAGATAAACAATTCTGAAGGTCCTTTATTATGTTTATTTCCTCAGGTCAATGTTGAGCATATGGATCGTTTTTCCTCTAAATTTGGAAGTGAAGAACAGGAAGGCTACAAGGAAAATGGCCAGGAATCTGAAAATGCAAAGCCTCAGAAGTCATCCAAACCAACTGACTTTCAAGTGCTTTTTGGTGGCAATAATGACGATGACTTTATGATTGGCATCAAATTTACTAGGCAATTACATTCCTATAGTGATCATCATTGTTTATTCTCTTTCCTTTTCGAAGACATGATGTGGAAGCTTGTAGAAGTTTTCCATCAACATCTGTTGTTATACTCATTAAAACGTATTGTGTGAAGACCTATAATAAATCTAACATATCAATCTAAGTCATCACAGAGAGCTGTTTCAATATCTTACACTGCTGTGAAAAACTACAATAAAGAATTAAAGATCCTTAATGCTGTCTTGGGGGCACTGTCTCGTGAAAATCTAATTTACCCACTCCCTATTTATTCCATTTTCATTGTCCATTGCTTTTATTGCATTTAAAGCATCTTTTTATATTTGTATATTCTCTTAGAAAAAGATGATTTTATGGATGATTGTGAACATTTTAAAACTTTTTTCAGACAAATGGATTTACATTATTTGCTGTATTAATACTCTGTTTAATTACATATGTGGCGTATTACTTTACTATCTCAACACATAGGAAGTTGCTTCTCTCAAACTTTGTATTTGTAAACATAATGCAATATGAATTGATTTTCCCATTTCTAATATATTGTATATGCTTTGTTCTGTACAGGAAGACAATCAAGTTGTTTAGTGATTTCCATACCTCAGACATTATTATTGCTTCAGCGCTTTGCCTGGTTAATGTAAGCAGTTCCTTTTTTCTTATTTCATTTATTCTGAGTTTGTTCATTCATATTTGACTCTAGTGGCTTTTTTTTTATATTAGATTTCAAGTTTTGTGATTGGTCCATACAAGTATCCCTTATTGTAACACCCCCAAATTTCTAACAATTTTAACAACAATAAAATATTCCTATAATAGAGAAATTTTCAAAAAAAAATAACATTTAATTATTTATTAAGATCTTATAACTATTGCGGAAGCTAATCTAAAACTAATTTGGGGAAATGTTATTGCTGCACCTGCTGTATAGGGACAAGTGTAAGGCTAACTTTATTACATTAAAAATAAAACCAACAATTAAAGTTCAACTGAAAGAAGCATTTCTTATGCATAAATAAATAAAAATAGTAATTAAACTCTAGAGCTAGCTAGAAATCTCTGAATCGTTATGCTCACTGCCCACTGCTAGCCCCATCCTTTGCAACCTGACTTACTAAACATCTCTTCCCCCGAAGGATCATTGCAGCCAAACAAACACAAACACAAAAGTCAGCAAATGTGGTAATCCTAATCAAAACGCAATTTATATAACTCAAATATAGTAATCAAATTAAATATATAATTACATAATAATTGAATCAAATATCAACTTCATCATATATATAATATATTCTCATCATAATAACATCAAATTATCAACTTCAATATATATTCACATCGAATCAAATATTATTCATAATCTTTATTAAGTTCATTTAGTGGATTTAGTGGGAAGAGAACCATAGTAGACCCGGGAGTCCCTGTTGTCAGTCTACCCACGTGACCCGGGAGACCTTGTTGCCATCCACGTATAATCAAAATTGACCATATCAAAATATCAAATCCTAGTGTGCACACCTCTTCCCAAATGTTCTACTAGTACCCCGGGAAACCCTGTTGCCAGATACCACTTTGGAAAGAACGGAAACATCATTGTCACATCATGTAATATCAAAGGCATAAAGCCCAAAAGTTGTGTTCATCACTTTAGGAGGTACCATCCCAAAGCTATCCTCCCACCATTATTTATTACAATCACACACAATCAATTCAATCTTGTCACAATTCTCATAATTGAAATTTTTTCTCAAATAGTTTTCATACATCAATTTAACCAAGAGTAAAATTTCCAAATTCAATTATCCAAGAATATCATAATTCAAATATCCAACATCTATCAGAGTAAAACTCAAATCCAATCATCATATCAATTACTCATTAATTCTAGGGTATCAAAATCATAATATCCACAATTACTCAATAAGATTCATATCGCACATAATCAATTTTCCACCATTTTATCAAAGGTAAAATTTATACTATGTATAATTTGTTATCTATCTTCTCCACTTATCACCATCAAAGCATTAAGATTATTCCCAAAATAATTATATAATTAATCATGTTATTTTCTAGGGGTTAAAACCCAATAAAGTTCCCAATAATATTCATATATAATTACCCTACGATTAACTAAAGTTAGGATTATATATAATAAATTTCATATAAAACTAATATATTATTTCCTAAAGGTCAAGAGAATATTAAACAAAATATCATATAAAATTAATCTATTAAACCTTTAAAGGATTATGACACACCCAATAAATTTTATATAATAATTTTATATAAAACAAATCTATGGTGCCCTAAACATCGGGATTACATTAAACAAGATTCATATCAAGCTACCATATGACTCTCTAGGAATTAGGATTACCTAGTCTCTATGTTTGTTAACTTATAGAAGAAAAGCGATTTGGGAAGAGAAGCTCGTTTGGTACAAAGAAAAATAATGATTTGAGCAGAGAAGCGATTGATAACCAAAGGAAATAATAAAATAAAAATAAATAAAATAAAATAAAATTTTGAAGTAAGAAGAGAGTAGCAGAGTAGAAGAAGAGAAATACTGAGGATTGGTTAGGGTTAGGTTAGGCCTCTATTTATAGTTGGAGTTTTTTTCCTTACAGATATAGGCTTCGTACAATTATTTCCTTTTTCTTCTTAATTTCTTATGACTCAGAATATTGTTGACTCATCATATCTAATCAAATAAAGTTTGCTAACTCATCATAATCCAATCAAATATTACCAATCAAACATTAATGCATAAATGATCAATCAATTAATAATTCAATTAATCACAATTTATCATTAGTCTTAATAATATATTTATGTATATATATACATTATTTTTAGTACTACTAATTTATAATTTATTATTGTTATTAATTTATTGTTATTATAAATTACTATTATTTTTCTGGGATATTACACTTATATTTTGGTTGGATAGTTAGTATGATTATTTGTTTCTGAGTGGAGAAATTATATTAATACACTAATACAGAAGACAAGTACAAAGGCATAGGATAAGACATCCTCTTAAAGGAAACAAAAGAGAATAAAACACCAAAAGTAGAGAAAGCTCATCAACAAAGCAAGGCGGGGAGGAGTATATTACATTCCACGCGCATAAAATATGAATGTGCTATATTTTCTATTATAATGTCGTTTTCTGCTAAAATTGCTAATTGCTACTTCTCATGTCATTTCTTCTTGAGAATTCTGCTTTTGAGCTGAAACCATTGCTATGCCACCATCAATACTTCTAATACCAGCAAAATAAGATAGATTTATTTATTTTAAAATTTTTGCAGAATATTTTGTTCCTTTATATGAACTGAAATTGTTTTTTATTTATTAATAATCTTCTCAAGCTTATGAAATACTGAATTTTTTCTGATATATTGCTTATATATGCTAACATGAGATTGTTTCTAAATGTTAGAAAATTGAAGAGGCTGAGATTAATAAGGAAAAAGATGTAGATTTTCTTTCGTCCATAGAGGTAAGTTTCCCTACTGTTATTTTTAGGTCTTACTTTATAATTCTATCTGGATTTGTAGTTGGCCTCTATATGGATCATATGGCATGAAGTTGACTGATGGACCTATAATAAATAATCCAAGCCCATTAGTATCTTAAGTTAGGATTAATATATATAGAAGTTCAGGGCGATGTTTCTGGGATGCATGAAATTAAGCAAATGGTGAATGGGGTTTTGGGAAAGGATCTCCAGGGATCTCTTGAGGCCTAGGTGTTTGGCTTTGAGGGTGAGTTGAGACCTGAGACCTTTGGTTTATCTTCCTGCATTGTCATTTTACTGTTATTTCCTTGTCATTTCTTTGTTGTGTTTACTTGTCATTATCTCTGTAATGTCTGGTACTGTTGATATCAATATATTTGGAGGTTTTGTTTCCATTTAGTGTTGGTAAATTCTGTTTAGAAGATCCATTATTCTAGGTTCCATCAATTTGGTATCAGAGCACATCCGATCTAGGGGGTGTTTCTGATCTAGATCTGATAAAAAAAGAAGAAGGGAGAAATGGAAAACAGAGTGAACAAAATGGAGAGGATCTTGGATCGATTGGAAGTAAGCATGGATCGAGTAGAAGAAAGAATGGATTGAGTTGAAGACGCTTTTCATCAACTTTAGAAACAATTTGGACATTAATAGAGCGAATCGATCCTTGTTTTGTAGAAGAAAAAAAGCGAGAATCAAAGAAACAGAAGTCGGAAAATAAAGAAACACAACAGAAAAAGAAGAAGAAAAATCAGTTGTTGAAGAAGAAGACGTCGAAGATCGCGAGGCAGAAAAGCATATTAGCGAAGAAGACAGATCCAAAAAAAAAGACGAAGAAGCAGTAGATCGTAAAACCAAAGAATATGTCGAAAAAGAGGCAGAGGAAGAAAAAGCAAAAGAAGAAGATGAAACTGAAGGAGGAGAAGAAGAGATTGAAGAAAGAGAAGAAGACCAAGATAGGTCTCAGGTTTTGTTGATGACGAGCGTGGAAGAGCACCGGTCGATGATGCAAGAGGTAGCACGGACGAAGACAGACATGATGTTGGGTTGGGTGATTGGGACTATGGGCCGAGGAACTAGTGGGCCTAATTCAAAAGGAGAGGGTCATTATTCACAACCCACATTAATAATGTAGCCCATAATTCAGTCAGGAATAATAGAAGGGAATAATGCCAATTGGATGGGCTTGAATCATAATGGGCCTAACTCCATTCAAAAGGGATCATATTTGGTTGGGGAAATTCACTGAGCGTTGGCCCTAATCCAAGAAAAGAAACATCTAGGTTTATGCTAAATTTCAAAAGAGAAGGCCACGAGATGTTGAAGAAGAGCGCTTTGGAGAAAACGGTGCTGCAGAAGAACAAGAACAAGGAAAACGACAACAACGAGGATCAGAAAATGAGGAGCAACAGGTTCTTGGTCAACATCAACATCCTAGGGAGTGCGGGTCCCATAAGGTTTGTGGTCAATGAGAAAACCTTGTTTCTGGGGTCATCGACACTTCTCTTAAATCCTATGCACGCGAAGGAAGGCTTCCTGTTCTTAGGTTTGATGCCAACAATTTCTTTCTTTATTGTGCAAATGCTGGATTTGATGGTATGAATGGTTGCTTACCATTTTGGAAAATTGCAGATGACTTGGGTCCCTCTAAGTTGGCCACTCGGATCTTGATTGGTTTAGCCAAGTTATTCCAAAGATGCAAAGCATAAGTTAGTTTCTTGAAAGGATATGGGTAAGAAATTGCAACTAGCAATGTGGTCAAGAAGCTTCAAAATTTGGGACCTGGCTGGAAGTTCTTTCACATTACTTGACCTCTTTCGTTACCTTGTGGACAAGGTGAATCTTGAAGGGGGAGTATTCATGGGCCTATAATAAATAATCTAAACCCATTAGTATCTTAAGTTAGGATTAGTATATATAGAAGTTTAGGGTGATGTTTCTGGGATGCTTGAAATTAAGCAAATGGTGAATGGGGTTTTGAGAAAGGATCTCTTGAGGCCTAGGTGTTTGGCTTTGAGGGTGAGTTGAGACCTTTGGTTTATCTTCCTGTGTTGTCATTTTACTGTTATTTCCTTGTCATTTCTTTGTTGTGTTTACTAGTCATTGTCTCTGTAATGTCTGGTACTGTTGATATTGGAGGTTTTGTTTACATTTAGTGTTGGTAAATTCTGTTTAGAAGACCCATTATTCTAGGTTCCATCATTGACAAAGTGTATATCATTTATTCTGAGCAGGTTCTGATTATTGATCATGCAGATGTAATAGCAATGCAGGTTTGTAGTGATGTTTCTTTAAATGATTATAACAAATTGATTGTCCCCATGATTTGGACTACAATATCAATGTTGTCTCTCTTAATTGTTGAAACTTGCCAGAATTGGTCTCATGTGCATACGGTTATCGAACACTTGAACCGCATACCGTCTAAGCAAACCGGAACAGATGTTATGCGCATTAGACCATGGTACATTCTATATTGGCTTTTCTGCATTGAAGTTGATATTTCATTTTTTCCCCCTAGATCAAATGAAATTTGTATGCTTTTCTTCCATCTTTGTTTTCACTTTTTTCATTTCTTTCATTTTGGCATATGGCAAAATTATTGTCACATAACAAATAATTTGAGGTCTTTTTTTCTTGGATAACAGAATAAAATATATTATAGAGAAACTGAGAAAAGTTAAAATGAGGGAGGATAAGATATCTTTCTAAACAGAGACACGAAGAAAAAACAGTAAACCTTAGAGGCTAAAATATGAACAAATCTGCATGAAGACTCCTTTAAAAAATGTGTGCACCAAACACCAATGAGAGGCCTTGAATATGACCTATTCCTGACGCCCACCCTTTTGTCGTACATACCATAATACCATGTGTAGCTTTTGCATGTTCAGTGCTTATTTTATGGTATACAACAACTATGACTGATTATATACCACCAAATCATTTTCTATCATGCATCCTGCTCTTTATTAGGATTTTGAATGTGGCTTGTACCTATGTTTTTGCTGCTGGTGTTGTTGGAAAGCTACAGTCAAAGAAGGGTCATTCTCATGCTTGCTATTTGCTTTAACCACTACTTAATGTAACTGGTTGGAACCTTGCACAATGATTCTCTTGTTCCTTTCAATCCTATAAGTGCATTTTTCCACATCTATATTTTGCTATCACTTATGCCTATGTCATTTTTTCTCTTGTTCTTCTCTCTTTGATTTTCCTACTTTAATTTCCTCTTTGGAATTTGGAAATAGTATCTTTGTATCTCCATGTTTAGTAATATCTAAAGCATTTCTATTTTATTTGATCTTAACTTTAAGTTGTATTTGTGAGTAGAAACTTTTGTTTCTTATACCGTCTTTCTATTGATTTTCTAATTCAGCCAACTAAACTGCTATGTTCACATCCTTTTGAATGTCATTTTTTCCTTGGATGATGACCCTAGATATTGAAAATATTTATTCTTGGGTAACTTTTTACCATATCTTGTTTTTAGCTCTGTTTCTTATTTCCTTAGTAAAACATGCTTCATATTTTCACCCTTGGTTCCAAAGAATTAAACTCAGATTAAAATCTAGATTTATTATCATTAACTTGTAGAACATCTTTAATAAATTTTTTAAAAAAAACATGTAGAGCATCGTTTTTGTCTCAATTCTTTTATTTTCAAATGCAACTAGCAACTGTCTTATCTTCATCTTAGCATTCTTTATCAATCAGCCCATGTTATAAAATGATGTCCAATGGAAAGTATTGAGTTGCACCTAGACACAACAAGTAATTGTCATTGAGAGCACTTGTATAAATTCATTGTCTTGTGTGGGCACTTAAACTTTATTGGGAGCTTTAATCATATTCTCACATTTATCTGAAGGAGTAAATATTTTTATTGGTGGTTTGCACAGAGAGTTAAGAGTTTTTCCATTGCCTCATGTTTATGATTGTCACTGTCGTATCATATCTGTAAATACAATGTTACACTTTTAAAACCATTATAGTGATTACTTTTAATATAATTCTTAAAAATATAAAACCATATGTGCCTGCACCTGGCAGCTTAAGCTCTCAGGAGAGTTGATCTTCAACAATAACTTTAACCGTTAAAATTATTAATAAGCTATCCAACCCTTGCACTCTCCTTGTATGTTCTACAGCTATATCAATTGAAGCTTTCTCGGGGGACATTGACTATTTCTTTAAAGCACTGTACGATAGCATTGTTTTCACATTTTAATTGCTAAAAGCAAGTTTCTCCAGAGTTAATGTGATATCTGTTTTCTTCCTATGAGAGACAGGAAGACATGCACACTGCACTCATTAGGTTCGTGCAAGCTAGAAAAATCAGTACATTGAATTAATTTGAGATCTATGAGTATATATGCTACTATGACTCAAAAGAATGCAATAAAATATTAACTGGAAAAATTCTCTTTTAAGCCGAAGAGGGGTTTGTCAAAGAGATAAAGCCCACATCTGCTCTTACGCATGCTATTTGTATTCTCTCTATCATTTTCATTCAATTGTACGTCACAGAAGGGACTGCCCAGCTTTTTTATTTAATGCATTATTTATTTGTTGCATGAACTGCATGTTACACTCATATTATTAGAGGCAAAGGTATCAGAAGTGAGGTATACATTTCTGGTTTTCTATACCAGAATTTTGAGTTCCATAAGTTTGTATTTCTTGTTTAGGTATCTTGATGATTATGCCAGATTTTACAGGCAAACAATAATTCTGGGTTTTCATTCTGATCCAGGTATTGAACCTTTCTTCTTGTGGCCAAGTCGTTCGAGAACAAATTTGCATGATTCTTTTGTATTTACCTTCGATAGAGAAAGCCATATGTTATCTGTTGAACACAGGCCTTTGCATTCTTCATTTTATTCTGTTTAATAAATGGGGCATGTTACGACCCATATTATATGAGTCAGGCTTTGTAGTTAGGTGGTTAGATTGTTAGGAGTAGTTAGTCCCTTGTCTATATAAGGGCAACATTCTTTTTTCTTTTGAACCCACTCATCTCTCCTGCAAACCACCTTCCACACAGGCGGCTCCGGCGGTGGCGGAGACGCAGGAGGATCTCTTACAGCTTGCTTCTCCATTGCTTCTGTTTCGGTCTTCTCTAGCGCCTTATCTGAACTTTTTGTTCCTTCTTTGTTCAGGGTGCCACCAAGCTCTATCTTTTCACCACCAACTCTCATAAAGGCTGACTTCGATAGTGGAAACATTTTTTCTTTTTCATTAAGAAACATGTGAGATCTGCCTCTTTTTTCTTCTTCTGTTTCCCCTTTTTGGGCGTCAATTTCTGGAATTGAATTGATCTCTTCTTGCATCTTCCCCAACAGATCTTCAAACTTATGCATCTTCTTGGTTCCAGAAGATGGCATCTTCTCCTTTTCTGCAGCAGCCACTACTTCTTGCATCTTCACCAATGTTTTCACCATCTTGAAATCATGAAACTCACCTTCTATCTCCATGTTGGCGTACCCATTTTTGGCTTGGAAACTACAAGAGTTTCCAACCTATTGGTGTCTCCCTTTTGAGTTCCATCAAAATCATGATTCTTCATTTTGCATATTGGTGTCTCCCATTTCTCCATCAGCCTATCAAGAATCTTTATTATTTTCTGCAACTTTTCATTGAATTCTGAATCGCTGGTCTTCTTTTTGATATGATTTCTAAAATTCTTCAAAGCTCCTCCCATTGCGTTCGCCCCTTCAAAGATCCGGCAGGTCGGACCTATTGTTAAGACCCTAGATTATTATAAGGAAAGAATCACAGAAATAGGGGAGAGAGGAGGATGAAAAGGAAAGGAAATGAAGGAAAAAACAATTCTTTATTTGATTAACAGCATAGAGTACACCCACAAAATTCAAGAGCAAGCTCTTCTCAAGGGGCACTCCCCTTCACACTAGATACTCCTCAGTCAATTCTACAAAGCAATCTCAAAGATGATTATGACAGAAAGAATGTTGCCCTTATATAGACAAGGGACTAACTGCTCCTGACAACCTAACCACCTAACTACAAAGCCTGACTTATATAATATGGGTCGTAACAGGGCAGATGTTAATTTACTGGAAGAATGAATATTTCTTTGCTTGACATGGTGATTCATTGCCTTTGTGAGAAGTTTATATCCATTTGAATTACATGAAAATCACCATGATAATCTGTTTCCAATTATAGAATATTAACTTTTGTGTTTGAGTGAGAAAGTGAAAAAAAATGATAAAGTGCCGAGAGAAAGACTTAGAGTGTTCTCTGTAAAATCATGTAATGTTATTCATCTAATGAACTCTGTGATGGGTTGTCATATTTATCGAGTTGATTAATAACAGTTGGAAACAACTGTCTGAACTGAATCCTAAGTTAGTTACAAGTCTGCTTGAACAGACTCTGATATAAATAGCACTTACTAATGCTAATTCTGTTGTTAGAAGCTGAAGCAACCTATAACTAGTTATGACTAGCAGAAGTAGCACATGTGTAGAACATCTCTAATATAGAACATCGTTGAAATTTTAGTTTTTGAATCTTCCTTTACTGGAGGAGGATGGTTGGTTAACCTATGGTTCATTTCACGTGCTTAAAATGGTGCTGAGTTATCTAGAGTTTCTATCTTGCATTATTGAAACACGGCCAGGTATATTATAACCTCTACATTTCCTTGTTGCAGATATAAATGCTTCATTCAATCATCAGTGTTTTAATTATGAAGGGAAGGTATGCAACATTTCTGATTGCACTTTCTATACTTTTTCTTGGGTTTAAGGGTTATGCCCACCTTCAATCATGGAGGGCTTAGAGACGCATGACTGAAAAGTTCTCACCACATCAAAATCTATCAATTTTTCCCTACTATTTAATAGTCTTTTGTTCTTATTTATAAAATTTAACACAAGGGCATTGTTGATATTCCTTGTTATGAAATGGAAATTGCAAAAAAGTGTCTGCCTGTTTTTTTTTTTTTTGGCTTAACCAATTACTGCCGAAACATCCCCAAATTTCTAATAATTTTTAAAAATATTCTTATAATAACATAACTGTCAAAAATCATATGCAATCATTTATTAAGAGCACATAATTAATGCAAAACTAAATTAAAGCCAATTTAGGGAAATGTTACTGTCGCATATGTAATACGAACAAGTGCAAGGCTAAATTTATCATACTCTCATAGCAAAATATATTCATCATAAATATTAACATTTCAAATGTTAAACCAGAGTCTAAGGTTTATCTTAAAATATGTCTTATACATTTATTAAATCCAAGCATAAAATTGTAATATTTAGGACTAGCTTGATATGTCTGAGACGTTATTCTTACTGCCCACTGCTAGCCCCAACCTTTGCAACTTGCTTCATTGAGGTCTACTCCCTTGAAGGATCATTGCACAACACAAATACAAACAATCAACAAAAACTGACAATCCCAATCCAAAACACAATAAAGATAATCATAACTTAAATACTCATTATAATCAACTCAAGCATCAATCCAAGTGTGCCATTTCCATTATTGATCTTATTTAGTTTCATTTAGTGAGAAGAGAACCATGGTAGACCCAGGAAACCCTGTTGCCAGCCAGGCATAATCAAATTTGGCCATCATCAAAATATCAAATCCTTAGTGTGCACATCTTTCCACAAAGTTTCTACTAGTAACCTAGGAAACCCCAAATTTGGCCATCATCAAAATATCAAATCCTTAGTGTGCACATCTTTCCACGAAGTTTCTACTAGTAACCTAGGAAACCCTGTTGCCAGGTACCACTTTGAGAAGAACGGATAAACATAATTTTCACACCATATAACATAATAGGCATAAAGTCCAAAGGTTGTGTTCATCACTTTCAGGAGGTACCATATCAAAAGCTATCTTCCCACTATTATCTTATTACATACAGTTAGGGAAATTCAATCTTGTCACAAACCATATACTTGGAAAATTTCCTCAAAGAGTATCATAATTTCCACATCAATTATCCAAGAGTATCATAATTTTCCCATCAAAGGTAAGATTCATATCACACATAGTCAATTATCCAACATCTTATCAGAGGTAAATTTAATACAACATATAATCAATTATCCAGCATCTCTACCTATTATCATTAAAGAATTTGGATAATACCCAAGAAAATAATTATATAATTAATCTTGTGAATTTTTAGAGATCAAGGTTAAACCCAAGTTACCCAACAATATTCATATATAATTAACTTATGATTTTCTAGAGGTTAAGATTGAATCCAATAAAATTTCCAAGTCCAACACAATTCATATAGAATGAACCTAGGATTAACTAAGGGTTAGAATTGCATATAACAAATTCCTTAAGAAACTGACCTATAATACCCTAAGGATCAAAGATTACATATAACAAATTTTATATAAAACTATCCTATGATGCCTAAAGGTTAGGATTCGATATAACAAATTTCAAATAAAACTAACCTATGGCATCCTAAGGATTAGGATTACCTGAACTCCATGTTTGAAGGCTTCCTCGGGAAAAAATGATTCGTGAGGGGAAGCATAGTTGGTAGCTAAGGGGAAATAATTGCAACAGAATTTGAAAGGGTTGAGAATAAGAAGAAAAAGGAGAAGAGGAGAAGGGAAATTGAGAGATGCAAGGGACTTAGAGAGAATATGAAATTGATTTGGTTTGTTAGGTTAAGCTCCTATTTATAGCTTAGGTTTTGTAACGGAAAAATAGAATTAATTGCAGGTAATATTAATGGTAATCATAATTACTTTAATTATCATTAATATATCTTAATGATTACAAAATTAAATAAAAATAAATGTTGAACGTTACAAATTAAATGACAACCAACAATAAATGCTGAATGTTATAAACTAAAATACCACCAATTAACGTTATAGTTTTATAGTCAAATAATGATACACGGGTAAGAATCAATGATAACCAATAAATATATCAATGCCTATAACATCACTTTATGCTAAACCCAATGTAACATAATATAATGATACACATAAGGGTATACACTATTATTATTATTATTTATTTTAATACTATTATTTCTCTTGGGTTATCACAACACCATTCAAAATAACACTGTGTCTAATTTTAAAATCGTCAATCTTTTTTATTGGTATCTTCAGGTGAAGCTGATATGTGAATATAAAGGTGTTCTACACAAAGTGTTACCCGACATACGACAAGTATGCTTTCTCAATATAATTGGCTACTTGAATAAGTGATCTGCATGTGGTTCTTTTATACTGTTGTGATACAGTTAAGGTCAAGTTGATCCATAGTGAACTATTTTTGTAATGGAAATGAGTTTGTTTACCTCTTGGGATAAAATATGTCAGTGTAATAGTGATCTTGTGAGTCAGTAATATAAATCTACTCTCAACGGGAATGTCACTGTAGGTGGGTCTCAGTCGAAGGCTGAAAACTAGGGGGATGTGTTGGGCACGGTGGCTCTTGAGGGTGTATTTCAACAGATTAACAAGGTGAGTAGGTGTGCAATGGGGCATCCCTTCAATGGTTGAAGAGGGATATAATAAATGGAGAAGATTTTCCAACGATGAGTGAGAAGGGAGTTGTAATCGTTTTTGCCCTTGTGGGTCCTACTAGGTATGAGGCTGTTGGGCCTTTACGCCCATTTGACAAAGTATATCACAGGAAGAGGAAAGCCCGATTGGTTGGGGAGAATGGTAATATAATAGTAGAAGGCAATGAGGAATGAAAGTTTGTCATGGGAGAAAATGTGGGGAGGGGATTCATTGAAGGAGGAGAGGTTATAAGGCAGTTATACACAGAGAAAGAGGGGCCCAAAAATATTGAGAGTGGAGCTACTGAGCGTGGTGCTCAATTGCTGAGTTCTTGAGGTAGTCAAGAGAATTCCATGGAAGGAGGAGATCATCTGTCCATTGGATAGTAGCTATGGATTCTGCGGGGATTCGTATGAGTCTAGTAATTTCCTGTTAGTAGTATACTGTTGCTTGATTGGTATTACTGCATTATTACTTTTATTAAGGTCTTGTGTAGCTATGGAGTCTGTATAAATGGTTAAGAGCTTGTTGATGCTCTGTTTTCTTAATCTGTCATGAAGTCTGTAATTGGAGTTGATCTCCAATGGATGATTGAGTAATAGAAGTATTTCTTGTGTTTGTTGTTTAATTGTCTGTTGCTATTTGAGGGTACGTATAGTAAATGGAGAATATTTTCCAATGATAAGTGAGAAGGGAGTTGTAATCATTTTTGCCCTTGTGGGTCCTACTAGGTATGAGGCAAACATCCTCATCTGATACATTAGGTGCATGTGCATGGAGAGTGAGATTCAATGTGGTGAGTTAACATTTGTCTCACTTTAGGAATGCATGGTTGGTTCAGAACAAAAGCTCCCAGCTTGGGAGTCTACGAAGTCAGAGTGCCAAAATGTATACAAGCTATGTTTGGCCACCTATTGTGTGATATGTGTCTAGCTAGAATACGAACTGACTAGTTTATGACCATCGACTACTACTTGTATGAAAGCATTTTAGTGTATGGTCGTTATATGTTGAGCATCATTTGATTTGCATGGTTTGCTGGGTGAACTTATGAAGAATTAGGTCTAACCGCCTTACTTTGAGTGGATCTCCACAGCTTTTGATTGTGTTGGGCATCTTGGAGGCTGATCGGTTGACGCGATAGGATACATGTTGTACGTTGTCCTTTCAACTGCTGTGACAATTGTTTGATAGATGGTTTGGCCACGCGTCGCTCTGAGCTAGGAGAATCTTTTGAATTTTTAACGTGCTATCATGAGAAATATTTGACGGCTGCAAGCTTTCTTGCTATATCCCTTAGTAAAATTACTGTGTTGTCCTTAATCTTACCGTCGATTTGAATTTGCTTGTGGTTGAGGGATTGTACTTCCCTTTTTTCCCCCAAAACTAAAATGAACCTGGGGTGATAGAAGAGGGAAATCTTCTCTTCTCCACCATTTAAAAAGTTCTTCCTTTTATTCCATTCCTTGTTTCTTTTGACTTAAAGCATCTTCAAGTGTTGTTTCTTTTCAAAGAATCCTTGAATTTTCTTCAAGTTTTGCCTTTTCCCTTGTATTCTGGAAACACTACTTGAGTTCTTCTCAAATTTGAAATTTTTCTTCGAATAGGTGTTGTTTCCTTGACCTTCGCTGCCTTTACAAGACTTCTTCAAGATTTTCTATTTGTATAGCTTTTCCTTTTTATCTTTACTCCTTTGTTTTCTAGATTGTCTGTGGGTTGTTGTTCTTGTTATGTGGGTTGAGTGGTGAGCATTGCTTGGTTATTTGTTTTCTCTTGAGATGGTGAAAATAGAGGAATTAGATGGTGAGATTAAGGTTAAAGATGAGATTCTTCTTGTTATAGAGTGTTGGAATAACCTTAGGAATAGAGCCATTTGGATTTCCTTTGAATCGGGCGAGAGTAGTAATCATGGGAACTCTCAAAGTGAAGAGAGGCCTTATGGGAAGATTCCAACCCTTCTGGGGTTTTCGGAGGATAAGCCTTTGCCTATTCCACCTCCATGGCGATCTTGTCGTGGAGGTTCTTTGTGTCTTAGTTGTAGTCGTGTTCGCGATAGGCCCTATCAGCCAAATGGAGAACTTGTCCAACGTACGAGGCATATGTGGTATTCTAGAATAACTAATCCATTAACGACGCCAATGAACTATTTGTGTAGTGGAAATGGGTATATTTCCCTCTATCAAAGAAATCAGAGAGAGAGAAGAGATGAAGAGGGAGAGAGAATGAATAGTATTTTTCACTTCTTTGAATAGGTGTTACACGATAGACTATATAGACACAACAACTATTGCCACGTCATCCAGTTCAGTTACAACTATAATCAGTTTTCTAAAACTGAGAAGATTGCTAATTACAATAATGACCTTTGTGTACAGCTGTACAGCTGTACACCTTTATCTATTCTAATAGGCCCCCTCAAACTCAGGGTGGATGAAGATAGGAAGAGGAATCAACCACCATGAGTTTGTCCCTCAATACAGCAAACCGTGTGGCAGAAAGACTCTTGGTGAGAGTATCAGCAACTTGATCCAAAGCTGGAATATGACAGACCTTGATATCTTTGGAAAGAACACGTTCTCTAACAAAATAGATGTCCAATTCCATATGCTTTGTCCGTGCATGCAGAACAGGATTATGGGAGAGAGAGACAGTACTCAGGTTATCACAAAGAATTAGAGGAGTAGTAAATGGAACGTGAAGTTCAGTGAGAAGAGACTTGAGCCATAAAACCTCTGCTGTAGCTAGAGCAAGGCTGCGATATTCAGCTTCGGTGCTTGAGCGAGCAACCAGATTTTGCTTCTTGGACCACCAGGACACCAAGTTAGAACCAAAGAAAACACATGCACCTGAAGTAGACCTCCTGTCATCAGGGTCACTGGCCCAATCTGCATCACAAAAGGCAGTGATGGAGAACAAGTGACTGGGATTGCATGGCTGTAACAGCATACCATGATGTAAAGTGCCATTTAAGTAACGTAGAATTCTTTTGACAGCAGCCCAATGGTCTTCAAAAGGTTGAGCCATAAACTGACATGCTTTGTTGACTGAGTAGCTGATTTCAAGCCTAGTGAGTGTAGCATACTGGAGAGCCCCAACAATGGAACGATAGAAGGAAGGATCAGAGTAGTAGTTAGACCCATATTTAGAAAGTTTGCATCCAGATTGAAGAGGAGTGGAAATTCCCTTAGCCTCTGCCATTTGAGCTCGATGAAGAAGATCTTTAATATACTTGGTCTGAGTGAGAAGTAATTTACCAGAGGAAGCTCTCTGTACTTCAATACCAAGAAAGAAATCTAGATTCCCAAGATCCTTAAGGGCGAACTCAGAATGCAGCTTATGTATAAGGGACTGAATGAATGCTGAATCACTACCAGTGAGGATGATATCATCAACATAAACTAGGAGAAAAACACAATGAGCTGACTTCCTGTAAATAAACAAGGAGGGATCACATTTGTTGGCAACAAAACCAAGATTCAGTAGAGAAGTTTTGAGCTTATCAAACCAAGCTCTTGGTGCCTGTTTGAGCCCATAAAGGGCCTTGTGAAGTCTGCATACCAGTGATTTATTGGAGAACTGAAACCCAGGTGGCTGTTGCATGTAGACCACCTCTTCAAGAGTGCCATTGAGAAAGGCATTGTTGACATCAAGTTGTCTCAGTGTCCAGCCAAAGGAGATGGCAATTGTGAGAATGGTTCGAATTGTAATGGGCTTAACAACAGGGGAGAAGGTCTCTGTGTAATCAAAACCAGCCTGCTGATGAAAACCCTTTGCTACCAACCGAGCCTTATATCTGTTTAGAGCACCATCTGGGTTTTCTTTAACTCTGAAAACCCATTTGCAACCAATAGCTGTGCGGTTGGGAGGAAGAGGAACCAAGGACCAAGTGGAATTAGCATGCAGTGCATTCATCTCAGATTGCATAGCAGACAGCCAGTTAGGATTAGCCAAGGCCTGTTTGATTGTAACAGGTTCAAGGGAAGTGGAAAAAACTTGTGGGTTGTGAACAGTCTTAGACCGGGTAGTGATAGAGTGAGTAGGTGAGTTGGTGAGAGGTCCAGAAGGGATGTATTCAGACCCAGAAGTAGAGGAAGAAGAAGGACTAAGAGAGATGGAGATAGGAGAAAAACCTGGACTTGTAGACAAAGGCAAGGATGACTGAGAAGCAGAAACGGTGCTGCTTGAGTGCTATATTTCTGGAGAAGAGACAGGTGGGTCTGAAGGACATGTAGGTGGGGAGGTGTTGCAGCTGGACTCTGAAGACCGTGAAATAGGTGAACACTGCTGCACAGGTGAGGAGGTGTTGCTGCTGGATGCTTGAGAGCTTGGGATAGAACACTGCTGCACGGAATTAGCAACCTGGCTTGATGTTACTAGAGGTATCACGTTGAGGACAGGGGAGGGAGAAGGTGTGGAGGCAGGAATGGGAGAAGGATCAAACCAAAGTGGATAGGGAAATTTGGACTCATTGAAGAGCACATCCTTAGAAACAAATAATCGACCAGAAGAGTTCATGCACTTATATCCTTTGTGTGTGGGAGAGTAGCCAAGGAAGACACATTCACTGCTCCTAAAGTCTAGCTTGTGGTTGTTGTATGGTCTTAGGAAAGGAAAACAAGCACAACCGAAGACTCTAAGGGATTTATAGTCAGGTACTATTT